GCGCGCTGAATGATTGGAACCCAAAGCAGCGAACCGAGATCAACGATGTGGGGGTCAAGTCAGAGATTTAATTGGGGTTTAATGGGATTTGATTAATGGGGTTTAATGGGATTTAATGAGATTTATATATTGAGATTTAATGGTTACTTAATGGTTACTTCATGGTGACTAAATGGGATTTATGATGATTTGGGGGTTTCTTAAGTCATGAGGGATCTCAAGTCGTCACCATAGGTTGTTTTAATACTCAGTCATGATCATCCATGACGATTGGATGGGACGGGATTTAGAGAATCCAACTTGGGAATTTTGAACACGGGGGTCTTGTGACTGGGGGGACAAATGGGGACACAGTTTCACATCCTTTTCCAAGAGCGGACTTAGACATTTTCAACTTCTTCGTTTGGCTTCGCCGATACTCACACTGGGACCCTGGGTTTATCTCCCAAACATGTCTGCCCCGGAAGTTTTTATATGTTTTTATGCCATCTCTGAGGCAGCTCCCATTGCTGACACTTTTTCTGGGTTTGCGATTTCGCGAGCTTGATGAGCGCGCCCTTGATGGGGATGGCTTGGATGGGATCGTTTTGTTCATGGCGCTTTCGTCAAAGTGGATCGCCAATGAGCTATTTGATGGGGGTACTGTAGGCTCACGCAACCAGGTGCTTTTCGGAGTTCTACTTTTTGACACATCATGATAGATCATGTTTCATATGATATATATATATAATATAATTATATCTAATTAGATATATAATATAATATCTAATTATATATAATTATATATAATTAGATATATAATGTAATATGCAATTATAGTTATATATATATATATTTGCACATACTATCATCCCAGATGTTGTTGTGTTCGAGTCACATCCAAAAATGAGGTCATCTATTTGGGCATCACCCCCAAAAGAAGTCAGTTTTTTTTTTTCCTGGAAGGTGTGATGCCACCGGGTGATGATGAGAGCCCAGTCCCTCAAAGAGGCTTTGATATCTACTTTGGGGATCTTCGGTGCATAGATAACATCAATATGGAGGTTTCCTAAAATGGGGTTACCGGGTACTCCAAGTCACCATGGCTTTCAATACGAACATGGTCAAAATGGTCTACTGACTTGGATGATTTGGGGTAGCCCATTTTAGGACACCCCCTATATAATCCTATATATCCAATATACAGATCATATCAATAGATAAGTGCCTGGTGAGGCCAGGGATGGCGATAAAAAAACATATCCGTCAAAACGGGTCCTCCATCATTCGAATCACTATCAAGCTGTAAAATATCCGAAAAAGATATCCCTATTTGCTATACATTAGAAATAAATCATTCTCCACACCATTCCCCTTAACTGCGAATTCTGTACCAATATCCCCAGTTATCCCTCTGTTTAGTATTGGGTTCGGTGTACAATGCTCCCTCCCTATGAAAAAATCACCCAGAAACGCATGGCTAAATCGTATTGGATCGATCTATTTTGTTTGGGCCACACTTTAAATTTAAGCCCCTAGATCAGTTGCTTCAAAAAACCTATCCAACTATAGATATATCATGAATTATCATGATATATCCACTGTAAACGCTATAATTATCCTGGTTATTTCTGCCAACTGACCTATCTGCTGTTCGGGGGCCCACCTGGTTTCCGAGCCCCCACACCTGTCGGAATTCTCCGGAACACCACCAGGATTCGGCAAAGTCTCGGTCTTTTACGCCCGGACCAGGACTAGCTCTGATTGTGGGAGGTCGCACCTTCGGGGAATGGATCACCAGGAATGGCTCACCCTGTTTCAGCCTAGATTCGTTTGCTGCACATGTTCCCTTCAGCTGAGGAGATGCAAGGCTGCCAGATGGTTGGGAACTTATTTTCCATAAGGATGGATGCATCAGCGACATAGCCAGGCAATTTTTTTAGCCGAAAGGATGTGAGATGGTGAGACGTTGATGGAATGTGAAATATCGTGTGAACAACATGATGGAGATATAGTCTCAGAATCTTGGGTGATTGGGTATGAAGTTTCGAAGAAGTCGCGGCGCTGAACTTTCAAACCAAGCATATCGAGAGACTGGCAGCGTTGTGATTAGTACTGACATGGTTGGTGGGTAGATCATCAAAACATTTGCAGATCCAACACCAAATGGAAAACCTTCTTGCCATTTCTCATGTATATATAGATTTTCTTCACCGTAGGACTGCGGGGTATGCAGCAATCGCTGAGAACGTCAACCATGGGACAAAAACCCAGGTCATGGATTTCATCCACGCTGGATATTCCTGTTCCAGCATGGTGTGCGACTGAGTCCACCCAAATGTCGACATGGTGCACCACTGCAAGCTGCGTCTGTTGGTGAAGATGTTTGGTTGTGGAAATTATAAAAGCGCAAGGTTGATTTTTGCTGGTGAAATTCCCATGGTTTTCCCCATTTCAGTTGCTTCAATTTTCATTGTTCTTTGTCGATCTCCACTTTTGATGAGGATAACACCCCATTTTTTCTGTGTAAAAGTCCCTCATTTTTCACTCTTCCAAACTCTTCCAAGCTCTTCCAAGCCTAAACACATCCTAAAACCTCCTAAACTCAGCAACTTTCACATTTTTGCAGACTTCAATTCCCCTAACATCCCCCAACATTCCCCAACATTTCGGGTTAGGCTCCCCTGATCCCCCACTAGGCGTCGGCCTTCCATCCCTTGCCGATGAAAACCACGCGGCTGGCCGAGCTGCCGCGGCCGGCGGATGTGCCGTGCCGCCGGCGATTGTTGGGGCTGTTGGGGCAGCCCAAAAGCCGGGCAGCTGGGAATATGGGGTATATATATATAAATATAAATATACATATATATATATATGTATAATTATTATATATATATGTATATATTATATTATATAAATAGAAAATGTATATGATTGTATATGTAAATGTCATATATGTCATATTATATGTTGTAGATATGCATATGTATAGTATAGATATCTTACTAATAGCATTAAACAACCTCTAGAAACCATGGTTTAATAGAGGATTTACAATATCAATAGAATTATATATTGCCATGGTTATAACATGTTATCACCATTCATATGGCAATGACGAGTCAACACCTATTAAAATTATTACCATGTTTTGGGGAACAACCAGCCATTAATGAGCTATTTTAGGGTACTATACCATCCGGGTCGGATTTTGACCCATCCCCCTTTTTTCAGCAGGGGATCTCTTCCCGCCAGGCACTTGCCTCCGGATCGCAGCTTCGTTTCAAGATTATTGGCCACATCCCCGGTGATTCATGATTTACTGATACTGTACTCATTTTGGCGAGTGGATCTAACAAATGGATCAAAACCCTTAAAAAAACACAGCAAAACTGATCAAAACCTATGATAACCTATCCATTTTTCAGAAAAATGTCCCAGTTTGCTACCAGGAACAGGCTATGCAGTTCGTGACACGTTTGGTGCCGTGGCTCAGTTTCTCAATGGACGCTGGCTGCAATGTTGGGGTCCAAACGTAGTCTTAGAATGAGTATGTGTATGGGTTTTGGGATGGTTTGGTCATTTTGAGTCTTCAGCTGTCGAAATTTGTGTTTTCTTTTTCAAAAAATTCCACAGTTTATCCTTATAATTTATAACTTATTCCTGAGCACAAGGCATGAATTCCAGGAAGCTTCGCTGAGATCCTTTCCAAAATTTGCCCCTGGCGCCGTCATCAAGGAAGTTTTGCATGAAGCAGCAGTTTCAAGAATTTAGATCCAGTGAGGTTCCTTCAACGAGAACCACCCGAAGACTATCCTAAGATATCCTAAGCCTTTCTTATTTTTCGGTGGTCCTGTTTGAACATCTACCAGCCATTGCCGCCCTTTTCACGGCCGGGACTTGTTTCTCACCATGATCGCTGAAGCCGTGGACGTCTCAGAGGCAGAGGCGCACCGGTGGTGGTGACGTTTGTGAGTTAGTTGGTTGGTTATTTAAATCCAATTCACATTTTTTATTTATGAACTTTCATGTCTTTAGCTAGATAGTTAGTTAATTAATTCGGGAGATAGATAGTTAGTTAATGAGTTAGTTAGTTAGTTAGTTAATTAATTAGTTACTTAGTCAATTAATTCCTCAGGTAAATAGTTGGTTCTTTGGTTCTGCAGCTTAATTACTATTTTTTTTTTGGAACCACTTCCGTGACGCGCAGATGAAACGGAGCTTTGGTGGGTCATTGGGTCATTTTTCCTGGGTAAATGATGGGAATTGGATTGGGTGAATCATCCCAGACTCTTGGGTATAGGGGTTTACTTCCAGGCAGTTTTTCCATGAGGAACATGATTTTCTAGAACCATTGGACCATTGGATGTTGGCGCACTTTTTGTTGGGCAACATATTCCATACATACTCTGTTGCATGATCTATTCTTGTACCTGTTTTCGGGAAAGTCTTGGCCGGTATAGCTTTGGTTCAGCAGGGATCATGAAATCTGCCAATCTGCAGAAATCGCTATCGTGAAAGGATCTTCGCTATCTGAAGGATGTGTTGAATGTGTTGAGTCTATTCCATCTCCGATTCCCTTTGGCGAAACCACGCTAAGCTCGCCTCGCAGATCGAAGAATCGGTCCTCAGAGTTAAACTGTCGATGCTTTCAGCTTCGTTAAATAGCCTTATGGCAGCCTAAGCAGCCTGACCAACATGATACCAAACATGATGCCAAGATATGTGCCATGGTCAAGTTATACGGGTTTCCTACTGGTCCTTGGTGGATGGTCATCCATTTGAAAATGGGGATTTGTTGATTAACCAGGCCATTTTTTTCAGGGCTTCCATGAAATGGGATGACCATAAACAAGAAAAACGATTCACATCAGATATGATCATATCACTATATCCCAATTGCATCCCCCCCAAAAATGCATGAAACATCCCCAGAACTGGAATCAGTCGGACTGGTTTAGGGAAAATCTTTACCAAGAAACCATCAAGTTTTCCTTAAACCAATCCAACTGATGTAACGTTGCCGGTGGGCCGAATGGTGCCATGGTGGTGCCGCGGTGCCCTCGCTGCCTTGGTCCTACTGGGCCCCGAGATCGCTGCAGACCGCCCCGAGGATATCGAGGGGAGCTCGGAGTCTTGGACGTGGAACTGAGATGTCTGGAGAAATTCTGATAACCTCGCTGTTCTCCCTCACTAATCTCACGAAAGAATGGTGGTGAATGAGAGAAATGATCCACTGGTTGGAGCCTCAATTCTATATATTGGTGAAGTAGTAGAGTTCAGTTCATCGATAGAAAATCCAAGGAAGATCCCAGGAACATCCATGGAATATCCTGGCTCTTTTTGAGGCTTTGCCCTTGAACATTGATATTTTTTATCCAAGTTGACGGGGATTTAAAATGGGATGTTTGATGGGATATAATGTTTTCAAGAATTATATACTGTTATTGTTTTTTTTGATGTTTGTCTGAGAATTGTGGAACACACACATGCATGGGAATTTTAATCTAACCTAATTGAGAAAATGATTACTTTAACCATGGGATGGAATTATAGGGATACCCTATTTTCAAACAAACCCAATTTCGCCCTATTTGCATCCCAGCTGCCCAGCTGGTAAATTGTGAATAAGCTTGTTTCTGACGGTATGAACATCTATTTCATCTTATCTCAATGTCCTCTCATGTATCCATGATCTATCTTAGAGGCATATTTATATAGTTGTGTATCGGTTATAAACCCTGATTTACGAACGGTTGCACCGAGTTGCACCTCCCACAAGTCATGTCACATGTTTGTGGAGTGCTGGAGGATGTGCCGGATGTAGACCCAGAGTGTTTTTTTGTTTCCAGCGAAATTGGACCATTTCTTACCCTCCGAAGCTAGATTTGAAGAGCCAGGAAAAGATCTGAATGATTCAGAACCGGCTCTCTAATCCGACATTTCATAACCCGGAAACCATCATTTTTCAGATCTGCAGCAGAAACCGAAGCTTCATATCTGAGGTGGAAAGCACCTTCGACTTTTCGCAAGTGAGCTTTGCGCAACCTGTGGCAGATGACGACTTTGAAGATGCGTTTTATGCGGCGCGGCAGATATGGCTTGAAACCCAAAGAGATGGGAGAAAAGAACGAAACACATGATAGGAACCAAAAACAACCAAAAACATGATAAGAGCCATTTTGTTATCATGAAAACATCCAAAACATGATAACAAAGTGCCGCAAAAGAAAAAAGGCGCCTTCTTTTTGGGACCCCAGCAACCCCAAGGAATCGTCGCAGTCTCCCGAGTTCGTCCGTGCCGAGGACACCCAGACACCGGCGATGAAGTGGGTTAGGCAGTTTGGGAGATTTTATCACATAAACATCAAACAATTATACGTAGTATTTAGAACTAGGAATTTATATAATTATATATAATTATATCTTTATATATAGCATTATATAGCCAGCCATATCCTCATTTCAAGCCCTGAATTTATGAGTTGATCTATATGTATATATAATTTATGGCCTAATCACAAATGCTTTAAGCTTTCACACGTGTTCAAACAGACATTTCGTATCTTCGATCATTTTCTGTGAGTTTTTCTATCCTCCTTCAGGACATTTACCTACCAAGCTTTGGAGCCTCGAACAAAATGGACCATCTCCAGGACCATTCTCCCCATTGATATCGCAATCTCTAGGAGCCAGATCCATCAGATGGATCGTGCTGTTCGGTGCAAGATGAAACGGCCTTGAGGGCATGTGCGGAGCAGCGGAGCGGTGGAGGGGGTTTGCTGGGGAAATCAACGAACAATTAAGGTTTTTGCATAGGACAATCATCGAAAAATGTGGGGGATTTTCCTGCAAGCCATGTTAGATCACCGGAGGGAAGGAAGTTGATGATGTTGATGGCGAATCTGAAGCTTGTTTGTGCTAGGTTGTTTTGTTCAATTCCCGATTAGAAAAAAATACATCAAAATACCACGTTGGCGCTTTTCGCGTTGGGAACGCTAGGCTTGCGCCAGAAAAATCGCCAGAACATAGATAGGGTATGATAGGGTAAACCCCCAAAAAATCGAAACGTAACATACAATTCCAAAATAGTGCTAAAGTACTGAAGTCCATACTTTTCATGACTTTTCTATCTTTTTAGAGGTTAGTAATTATATGTCGTGATCGGTTCAACATAGGGGTAAACAGCATCAGCGCAGTCGTGGGACGCACTGGCGAAGAATCATCGCAGGTGCCAACAAGACCTCTCCCATCGGCGCTTGCAATGATCCTCCGCGACGTGGACGGAAAAAAAATCGTTGGGTTGTCGAAATAAATGGGGGATACCACATGAGTTTTTTTTTCTTTTCCGATTTTGATATGGTATATGTATAGAGGTTTCCTGAAATGGGGGTACCCCAAAATGGATGGTTTGTAACGTTTTAGGACACCTCGTGTATATATATATATATATTATACACATTAGATCCATGGATCTTTCATCAGCAACCTTTGGTGGATAAACCATCATGAGTAACTGGGGAGTTCCGGGTTCCTGGCCATGTTTGTTCAACATTGTTCAACCCCTGGCAGCCCTGGCATGGCAATGACTGACACGGCTGATCGGTTGAACACCTTGTGGCACGAACTCAGGTTGGTTGATGTCCTTTTTAACCATTTTTTGGTTGATTTTTCAAGGAAGGGGTTAAACAACCATCAAACAACCAATAGGTAGTTCATGACTTTTCCATGGTATTCAGCCGTCAGCCCATCCATTTGTTCCCAAAAGGACGTCATTGGGAAAATTCAGGCTGGTCATGGTGGTCTCGCATGCTCCCAGAAGCATTCACTATGCCGCTGCAACTGCTGCCATGAATGCCATGTGGAGTGCTGACCGAGGTGCGACTGATTCCATGACGGAAGCGAAAATCGTGTTCGGCAATTTACCAAATGGCATCCTGATAGTTGGACTGCATGTCATGTGTATTTTTCAGACTTTCTTTTCTCAAGCAGAAAAGCAATCGAATTTGATCTGAACAGATCTGTTTTCAGCATCCCCACCACATGGTTCTCGGATCGTGAAGGATATCCCTTTGTGCTGGATGAGAGGGAGCCCGCTCAATGGATCTCCAGCCGAGTTGAGGCACTATACAGATGAGTTGCCGTCATCCATTGTCAGAAATCCATGGATTGATCACAGTTCTCTGAGATGCGTGTATAATCCAACTGTTGAGAATGGCACACATGATGCTTGGTAAGGGGAAGCTTGCCAAAATGACCTTCTTTCAGGTTGGTGAAACTACGATATATATATATATACATGCATAGATAACACAACATAACATAACATTACATTACATGAGTTTAGATTACATTACGTCAGATAATGCTAGATACATATATTAGATTAATATCCCATTGATTGATATCCCATTATTCGATATATATTAGATTAATATCCCATTGATACATATATTAGATAATATACATAGGATACTAATCTATATATTAATATCCCATCATTGATATCCCATTAGATATATATTAGATAATATCATATACCATTGATTAATATACCATTGACATATTAGATAATATACATCCCATTGATTAATATAATATCGATACATATATTAGATAATATACATAGGATACTAATCATTGATATATATATATATATATATAGTAGTGAGTAGGCATGATGCTAGGTTGATTGCTTCATTTTCACCACATCATATTTCCATCCACCATTTCCATTTTTCATCCACCCATTTTCACCATCAAAAAAATCCATTCATCGCCCATCTTCCACCATCTCACCACCATCACACCAAATATTTTCTCATTCATCTTCATTTTCATTTTCCCATTTCATGTTCCATTCATCTTTCCAATCATCTTTCCATTCATCTTCATTTTTCATTGTTCCAATCTAATTTCCATTTCATGTTTCCCTCATCTTCCCATCCATCTTCACTTTCATAGTCACAATTCATCAAATTCATTTCATCTTCATTATCATAGTTTCGTAGCAATCAACCTAGCATCATGCCACCCCATAGAAAAAATAGGTAATAAAAAATAATTTAAATTATCTTAATAAAAATAATTTAAATCATTTCATCATAATTTTATTTCAGGATAATAATTTAATTGGTGAGGATTATTTTTGTTGTATTCATAAGTCATTTTAACAAAAATATTCAAATCCCTTATTGTATTTTTAATATTTAATTGTTTGCTTCCAATATACAGTTTAATATTTTCCTTGACATCTTCAACATTCTCGTGAGCAAGTTTCCATAATATTTTTTCCAAAACTTCATATCTCTTTTCACTTATTCTCATCACTTGTTTGACATCTTTTAAAGGTGGTAATGCTCTATCATAAACAGTAATAAATGCCAATACATCTTCTTCAACATTTCTTTTTTTCCTAATATTTATTTGACATAAACAGTGGAACATATCTTTATTACATCTCCAAATACAACAGTAATTACACTCTTCCTTATCATAATTATATTTGATAATATTATTCACTATTTCATTTGGTAAATTTAATTTATACAATTCCATATGTTCTTTTTTGAAATAGCAACAGTCATAACATTTTTTGTTAATATAATTATTAATCTCATATCTCATCATTTCCACTATAATATATATAGGTAATATTTCTTTAAATGCTTTTAGACTAAATATTAAATTAAGATTAAGATTATATTAAATTAAGATTAAGATTATATTAAATTAAGATTAATATTATAATGATAAAAATATCTCTTTTATCAACTCTTCCGGTATTTTATACAACTCTTCCTGTGTGTGCTTCAACCCGTTAGGATTGTTTTTCAAATCGTTCGGTAAGCGTTGCGCCGTTTCAATGTGCTTATTATCAACCACTTTCCCGCAGTCTTTCTTACATAAGGGTCTCGGTGTCCAACACTTTATGTTAGTCCAAATCCTAGTTCGTTTTCTATAATTAAAACCATATTTACAATAGTCAATATCAAAATACGGCAGTCCTTCCATAAACTCCTGTTTCTTCAACAATCCCGTTTGTGGGTTTTCTATTGTCCAGTATTTGGGTTTAAAGTAATCTATTATTTCTAGCGTCTTCTTCACTATCCTATTTGCTTCAATAATCTTCCTAACACCTGTAGTCTTTGCTATGCTATATTCAACACATGGGGGAGAAGCATGTATGAAATCAAAATACCCCACCGGATAATCTCTATAATTCCAATCAAGAATGTCAGTGTTTATCAGCGCCCCCTTCAAGTCTAAAGATACAACTTCAAAACCAAAATCTTTAGCAACCTTTCCAACACTGCCGGTGCCACTAAATAACTCTAATAATTTCATAATAATATATTTAGAAAATATTATTATGAATTAACCGTATGGTAAGTATCCTGCTTTATTAGTATCATCTTTGTAAGTATATTTTTCTTTGTCTTCATCCCATTCTATTTTGTAATAGTCTAATGTGGTTTGCTTCGGTTGCTTTATTTCCTTATTATTCAGTTTTGTAACATATACATTTCTTTTGTTTTCGTATGTTCCATCCCTAGTGTCTTTATTGTAAGGCGTAGTTTTCTTTTCAGATGCTTCGTGTAACTTCTGTAACAAGTCTAAAACTAGTTTAACGTTTTTATTACATCTATTCAGTTTATTAGTTAATTCATCCAACTTCTCTAGATTAGTATCACTCACATTCGCTTCATCACAACTCATATATATATATATAGTAAAACTAGATTTTTTTAAAACTTTTAAAAGTTTTATTAATCCATTTCACCCATTGTTAATTGTTTCTTGCTTCTCGGTGTGCCCATTACATCACTTATCATCTTGTTAGTGCTTTCTGTCTTTTTATCTTCTGGGGTGACTTGTCTGTTCCAACTAAACGAAATGCTATGGTCTTCGCTGTCCAACTTAATATCGCCGTTGTCATCTCTGCTGACATTCATTGTCTTATCGTTTTTGGTCAGTTTGAATGAGCAAGGATTACAAGAACATTTGATACCTTTAGGGTTTATTTCAATTTCGTTTCTTAACTGTAGTTTGGTAAAACAATTAGGACAATCAAAGATGATAAATTTACTTGATACTTTTTGGTCTTCACCCAGTTTAATTGTAGTGGGTTCGTCATCAGACAGTTCAAAGTCTTCGGGGATTGGTTGCTTCTTCATCTTTCTATTTGCTTTTGTCTTCGGTGGCATCTATATAAAACCGTATATTGTTATAAAATATTTTTGTAATTTCTAATGTCATTTCACAACACTTTTTGATTTTACTATCTTTTACAATCGGAAATTTGTCATCATCCACTATTCTTTCTTCTATTTCTTCAAATGCTTCTACATATTTCTTAATTTCTTCCATTGAAAATAATTAGATATTATTATGTAAAATCTAATTATTTGTTTTTATTTGTTTTTCATGCATTTTTGTTTCCAAAAGACGGGGTATGCTCTGGGTAAGTCTGTAAATGTGGTTCAATCCAAAAGGAAAACATGCTGTCAAACTAATTCGCGACACAATGACTTTTCACATCTTCTATTGCTTGTTTTTGTCGGCGCTTTAAAGAAGCATTCTCAAAATTAATTAACATTCTTATGATGGATTAATGTGTCTTTATCTGTTACTCTTCTGTGCGGTATAAAGTCTCATTAATAATATTAAATATATTTATTTTCTAAATGTTTTTAATGACAAAATTAGACATACCTAAAATAGAACCTATCAATGTAAAACAATATGAATTCAAACAGTCGCCATACCCTCAAGCAGATAAACTACCTTTTAGGTCAATCATTGTTTCAGCATCACAAGGTGGTAAAGGCATATTAATACAAAATCTAGTGTTGAAGATTTACAGAGGTTGCTTTGAAAGGATATGGGTCGTAAGTCCAACGGCACACATTGACGAAGCATACAAGGAAGTTATAAAATACATTGAAAAGGAACTCAAAGTGGATAATAAGAAGGAGCAATACCTATTTGATGAGTATAATCCAGATGCTTTATCACACATCATAGACACACAGCATAAGGTCATAGAATATCAAAAGAAAATGAACATGTCCAAGTTGTTTAGTTGCTTATTGATTATAGACGATTTCGCAGAGGATAAAACTTTTATGAGGTATTCAAAAATCTTACACGGACTATACACCAAATCTAGACATTTCGGATTATCAGTGATTACCGCTTCCCAAAAATACAATGCCCTAGCACCGATAGTCAGATTGAACACCAGTAGTTTATACATTTTCAAACTTAAAAATATGGCGGAAGTTGATGCTTTTGTTCAAGAGCAATCGGCATTGATTGATAAGAAGACCGTATATGATATTTACAAACTAGCAACGGAAGAACCCTATTCCTTTCTATTTGTAAAGTTAAGAGAAAGCAATTTGAATAAGATATTTATGATTAGATTGGAGAAGGAGATACACATTAATTAATAATAATTTTACTATATTATTATTATTATTAAATTAATGAATACGAACAGAGATTAATGGCAGGTAGTTTATACATTATCCTATCGCTTTTCTTGTCTTCTATTTCCTTAATCTTTTCAGACATTTCTTTTATTGCCTTTATTTGTAGTTTATCTATTTTACTAATATCTAATTCATCTTCATTTATATTGTTGATTTCTTCCATACAAGTATGTTTAACTGTAGAGTGTTTAGAACCCATATAATATATACATTACATTATATGTTTAAACTTTAGATTTTGCGTTTGCTTTTGCTTTAGGTTTAGGTTTTACAAAATCTTTAATGAAATTTTCAACTTCAAATAAACGAGTTTCTAAATGTTCTATCTTTTGCTGTTGCTCCCTCACAGCACCCCATAGAATAGAATTCATTTTGATATAACTTAACTTCTTAATACCATCAACTTCAACGAGTATATTTTCAACTTTTTCCGGTATATTTTCTTCTACCTCCTCTGCTATAAAACCTATATGACTTTTAGTTATTCCAATTTCTTTTTCTTCTTTCATTTTGAAAGTATGCGGTTTAATGCTACTTACTATTTTTGTAAAATTGAAGTCTGCTTCTTCAATATCATATTTCATATCTTTTTGTGATGTATCCACCAAATCGCCTTCTAATGTAT